GGGGATTTTCGGGCGGAGGTGCTAATATATATTTAAGGGTTTTATTTACTAAAATAAACTAGTAAGTATATTTAAGGTTAAACTTATAATATAATTCTACTTTTAGATCTACTAGCTTATTATATAAGTTAGTTAATAAAAAAATATATATTATTAGTAAATCCTTTATTATATAAAAGTAGTTAACTATTAGTCTTTTTTTAGCTTATAAGTTATTTTTATACCCTGCTTTTATAATTAATATAAGTTTTATACTTTATAAGGATAACTTACTATTAGCTATATAAGTATACTTAAATTATTTACTTTTAATTCCCTCCTAAATAAGGCAATTTAATTAATATCTCTTAGGCTTACTTTACTATTTTTTTAATAAACCTTATTATAGCTTAACTCCTTCCTTAAATCTAGGCTTATAAGTAAATAAATTTATAAAAGGGATATTAATAATAGTTTTCCTTTTTAAGTTTTAGTATATTTAAAATATTTATATTACCTTTTTTTTTATATTATTAAGCATTTTAAAACTTATTTTTATTTTAAATTATTTAAACTATTAGTTTATAATCTTTTAGTTTATATTAAAGTTAGTTATTCTCCTTAATACTTATTAAGGTATAGGAAAAAGGACCTTATAAAACCTAGTAAAGTTTATAAAACTAGGCTAGTTTTTTATATTTAATCTTAGTAATTTATAAGGTTTTAAGTATAGGTCTTTTTTTTTAGTATTTAGTAAAAATAAGTTAAAATCTAGTTTAATATCTTTTAGCATTTTTAGCTTATATAAGGCATAATATAAATAAATTACTTATACCTATTTAAATCCTTTATAAGTCTTTTTATTAGTAGTTAATTTAAGTATATATTTAGTAAATACTAGTTTTAAATTTATTAATATATAAAAGAAAGGGGTATTAAAAATTATCTTTATCTTTTCCCTTTAGCTTTTATTAGGCCTTTTATTAATATGCTAAAGTTAAAGTAAGTAATTTAATTTCTCTACTTATTATTATTATTTTTTAATTCCTTTAAGTTAGCTAAAGAAGAAGAGTTAAAATCCTTTTTAAATTTATTATTTATTCTTATATAATGCCTAGCTATTTTAAAAGTACTAGGTATAAGTATAATCTTTTATTTATTTAGTAATAATAAGATAGGTCTTTATATAGTCTTTTATTCTTTTTTATTAGCTTATATATTAATTTATAAAGTGCCCTTTTTAATATTAAATATAGCTTTTATATTATAAAGCTATAGCATTCTTAATAGTAATAGGATATTCTTTAATTTATTATTTAGTAAAGGCTTAACTATAGCCTATACCTTTTTTTAAATACCTTTATATTATAGATTTAGTATTATAAACTTATTTATAATAGTATAATATTTATTAGTATTAAATATAATTAATTTAGTAAATCTTATTAAGAATAAGTTAATTATAAGTATTTTATTATAAGTTATAAAGTTTTTAAAAATAAAGCTAGCTTTTAAACCTTAGTCTGCTTATACTAGGTCTTTTAGTAACTAGTACTTAACTTTATAAAGGATTAATTAAAATATAATATTTATTTAAAATAACTTTAGTATAAAATCCTTTTTTTTTAATAGTATAGTATTATATATATTAAGGCTAAGTATTATTAACTAGGCTTTTATTATTATTTTTTTTTTTAAATCTTTTTTAAGAACTTATACTTAAATAGCTTACTAAATTAGCAGGTGCCTTTAAGACTAAGCTGCTATAGCTTTAATAAAGTTAATTCTACTTTAAATTTAAATACTAGTTTTTTAAAGTTAAAGTTACCTTCTTTATCTTTTTTTATAATTTAGGCCAGTTTAATACTTTTTTTAAATTTACTTAATAAAAGCTATTAGCTAGGGGTTTAAGACTTAGTATTATATTTATTTATATTATTTTTTATAATAACTAGTTCTTTTTATGCCTTTTTTTTTTTAAAGGCTGGCTTTATTTTAGTAGCTAATATAGCTATTTTTAATATTTTTAAAGGGTTTACTATAGCATTCTTTTTTAAAATCTTTTATAAATACTAGGCTATAGCTTTTAGTAGTAAAATAGCCTCCTTCTTTATACTTATTTAAGCTAAATATATATTTACTAGCACCTTCTTAAATTCTTATAAGTAGTATAATATAATTAGGCAGAAGGCTATAGTTAGACTTATAGTAGACTTCTGCTAAGTTTAACCTTAGCTTTTAGTAATTAAGGTATTTATTTTATTATATTTCTTAAAATATATAAAAGCAGTATATATATTAATTATAATTCTTTTTAAGCTAGGCGCTAACTTTTTAAGGTTATAGTAAGTTATAAATTTAAAGTATGCCTTTTCTTATACTTATAATTATTAATTTAAAAAAGTAAAGCAGCAGCTAGAATAGTATTCTGCCTATTTATATATAAAATAGACTAGCTTGCTTAATAATATAAAAAGCTATTTATTAATATATATATTCTTAGAATTTATATAAGGCAGAAGGTCTTATAATATATCCTATTTAAAAAATAACTTAAGGTATATATATTTAAAGCTTCTTCTAGCTTATAGTATCTTCTTAAAATAAGTAGGAGGCTTTATATATAAAGTCTTAAACTAGTTTATTAAAGTAAGGCTAGGCTACTTATATAACTAACTGCTATAGTATTAACTATTACCTTAGCTATAATATTTAGTAAAAGCTAGTAATAAAGGTAGTAGTAATTTTAATATTAAAGTTAAAGGCTATACTAGGTTTTATATTAGCTATTATAAAGTTTATTAAAAGCTATAGTAAGGTAAGATTAAAAAGCCTAAGGTAAGGCTTATAAAATAGCTTACTACTTTTTAAAAAATAGTAAATAATACTACTAAATTAAAGCTAAATTCCTTTACTAAGATATAATTAAGGTTTTTTTTAAACCTCTTTTAAATAATATACTTATAGGCTTTTATATAAGCCTTCTTAAATTAAGCTTTTTTTAAGTCTTTTTATATATAAATAATAGCTTTAATAATATTAATTACTATAGTAAAAGCTTTTATACTTTTAGTAAATATAGCTAATTAGTTAATTACTTCTTTTTATAAGGTCTTATTTTTTAAGCTTATAACTATTTATTTAATAAAGTCCTTTAAGTAATAGTCTTCTGCCTAAGTTAGTAAAGGGCCTATTAAAGGATAATCCTTACCTCTAGCTTTATAAAGAGCTATATAAGCCTTAGTTAAATATACTTTTAAAAACTTATTTAGCTTTTATTTTAATAAATTATTAGATTTTATATTAAAGTTAGGCATATATATAAAGGTAGGAAATTAGTTTTTTAATATATTATAAAATATATTTAGGTTTTTTATAATAGCTATTTTATTTAAGGCCTTATTACTAATTTCTTATAAGAAATTAGTAAAATTTATAAATTTAGCTGCTAAGTTAATAAAGTTTATATTAATATATTTAATTATATAACTAGGAGGGATAGGATTTTTATTATTTAAGAATGCTTTTAAGTAATTTAGCTAATAAAAAATAAAGTAGGATTTATTAAATAAAGTTACTGCTATAATATATATATATCTTATAGTATTTCCTATATTACTTATATTATTCTAATTATTATCCTCTTTTAGCTTTAAGTAGTATTCTATCTTAAGCTTTAATAGGTTTAAAGGGTCTTATATATTAAACTATATATTAAAATTAAGTTCTAGGTCTTAGTTTATAAAAAAGTAAGTAAAAGAACTAGAATTTTTAATTTTTAATTTATTTTATAATAACTATATAATTTCTTTTAATAGGTTTATATTTATAATAAAGGCAGATATAAATCTAGCTGCTAGGTTTAAAGCTATAGTAATTTATAATTTTATTTTTTAATAAGTAAAGGCTTAGCTTTTTAAGCCTAGTTTAAGGGATAGAGGTAATTACTATAGTTAGCCTAGCTTAATTAAACTTTTAAGACTTTATAATCTTAATAGTAATTTAAAAGGGTCTTTTTATAGTAATATATATAATATAGCTTTTATATTAAAAGTGTTACCTTTATAAGTTTTAATAAAATAAATAAGTCTTAAAAGGGAATAAATAAAATAATATATAGGCTTAATAAGTTATATAAGTTAATATACTAAAAGGATATAAATAATACTTAGCTTTAACTAGCTATATAGCTATACTTTTTACTACTTATAAAATGTAAATATATTATAAATAAATTATTCTAAATATAATAAAATATTAATAACCCCTTATCTTAATTACTATAAAGAAAATGCAGGGGTTTTTAATAAAAAAGAGGTCTTAATATAATAAAATTAATTAATTAACTAGCTAGTAAGTGTATATATAAAAGTAAGAGAATAGATCCTTATAGCCTTTATATAGCTTTTTATTAACCTTCCTTATAGTTATATAATTAACCTTTTTAGAAGGGGCTCTTAGCCTACTGTTCCTGCCATCCCCTTTATTCCACCCAGTGAGTGGTATATTGGAGAGGTACCAACTTGGTGGAGCCTCTAGGAAAAAAAACCTGGCGGGGCATCTTATCGGTCTCGTGAAGCAAGAATTCAGACACGAGATGATTCGCGCAAGCAACTATTTTTTTTTTTTAAACAAAGAAATCGATTGGCACCTGATTTGCAGCTGCAGCAGGCAATTGAGGACCTGCATTGGTTTGTTTCGAGCTGAAACTGCCTCTTTTTAAGAATCGTTGTTCAGGAACACGCAATCGCTTCTTGTCGCCCTGTCCTAGAGCTCTTGGCTTTCATCACCAAAGACGCGAACTTGAGGTCCAACTGACGATCCTTTGCGACTCAATTCCACGAACATCTCCGTCAGACTATCTTCCACGACGAAAGAACAGACTTCTTCCCACCACATTCCACATCCACACCATGTCCTCAGGCGACGGTCGTGCGCCGGCCTGGAAGCGACTGGGCCTGAAGCTCAAGCAGAGCTCAGGCCCCGAAGCAGCAAACGAAACCCTGCAGGTTGGGCATCCAAGCAGCAGTAGCAGCAGGACCCAGCAGTCGACGCCGTTCAAGCGGAAGCCCGAGGCCCCGCCGGCAGGCGAACGCCTGTCGGCGCTGAAAAGGTCGCGGAACGAATCGCATGCTGCGGCGCCCAGCCCTCAGCTGAACAGGAAGAAGTCCGTCTCGTTCGGCGAGACGCCCACCAAGAGCGGCGCCGACACCCAGAAGCCCGCCGGCAACAAGCCGCCGCCGAAGAAGGCCAAGGTGCCTGGGAAGAAGCAAGCTCCTGCTCCTCCTCCTTCCGACATCAAGCCAGCGCTGGAGTACCTCAACCAGTGGAACACGGCTCGAGACTCGTGGAAGTTCAACAAGAACCACCAATCGACGCTCATCAAGTTCGCCTTCGACCCTACTCTTTTTCCCTCCGCCAACATTGATACCTTTTACGCATACATCCGCGATCTCAAGGGCTTCGTCCGCACGAGACTACAAGAAACCGCCATGGAACTGAGGACAAAGGACAGCACAGCAGGAGCCGCTGGCTTCCCGGAAGGCTCAGTAAACCTCCCGGAGAAGCAGCTGAGATACGACCAAGTGCTGGCTCAGGTGCTGCACTCGCAGGCAGGGCGGAAGCGGAAAACCTTTGACGAGGCGGAGTACCGGAGCTCGTCGCAAGACGTGGAGGATGTCATCATGCGTGTGATTAAGCGCATGCGTGCAGAGCTAGTGCTGGATCAGTTGTCAGACAGCGAGGAGACGGACGCAAGCACCACCACGACGGCGACGGCTTCTTCCGGCAAGGCCAGCATTGGCGATAGCGACAGCAGTAAGACCACCGAGGGCGACGCCAAGGTGAAGCTGAGCGAAGGTGTGGGCAAGAGGCGGAGAAAACTACGTACCAATGTCGATGACAGCAGCAGCTCCTCTGAGTCAGACAGCGATTCAGACTCGAGCAGCAGTTCCTCAGACGATGATTCAGACGACGATGATAATGATGGGGAAAAGAATGACGATGACGGCAACGAGTCCTCCAGCAGCTCGTCTTCGTCTTCATCCTCGTCTTCGTCTGATACGGAGGAAGAGTCTGGCTCGGACGACGAGAGCTCGAGCGACGAAGAATAGTATTCTATCCGCAGAGTCCGTACGCGGCATACATGGCGATAATACAATTTTCATGGTGTTGGATTACGAGGTCTTGACTGTCTTTTGAGATGGGGCTGTGGCCTTGCTGCATGGGGCGGATATCACGATACCCGGAATAGGCTCCTCGATTCATACTGGTTTTCGCTTTGAAATGGGATTTGGACCGCTACATTTTTCTTCTCTTCTTTGGTTCTGTGTACGCCTAAATGTATCATTAGAGCGCGCATGAGCAACGGATAGACTTCCTCAAACCATGATGTGCACATAAAACTTGAGCGGCAGCACCCTCTACAACACTCAAGCCCCTTTGATTTCTCGCTGTGCTGTCCCTCTAGGCAAACAGCTTCGTAAAGCCCTCCTTTGGCGGCTGCAACCAGTTCTTCTCATCATACTTCCTCCCCTCGCCCTCAATAATATGAAACGTATAGATAATGCGCCCCTTGGAACTCGTATTCCGCTCACTCTTGTGCAGCAGATTCCCATGAATCAGCACCAAATCACCCGCCTTGACCTCTCCAGGCACATACTCTCCCCCCTCCACACCCTCCTTCTTCTTCTCCTCGCCATACTCCTCCCCAGGCGGAAACCTCGAACCCTCATTATCCACAATCTCCGTCCCCGTGCCTCCCGCCTTGCGCACAAGCCTCTTCTCGATGGGCGCCCAGCGATGCGACCCGGGCAAGAAACTCAGACACCCATTCTCCAGCGTCGCGTCCTCGAGCGCGTACCAGAAGCCCACGGCCGACGGCGGCTCCGTGTACAAAAACGTCGAGTCCTGGTGCGGCGGCACGGCGCCGCCAATCTCGGGCTGCTTGCAAATGACCATGCTCTGCAGGCATCGGGCGTCGGCGAAGCCCAGGTCGCGCGCCACCGCCGCGGGACTGACCTCGCCCTTGTTCCGCGCCCGGGCGTCGTCGAGCAGCGCCGCAAAGGGCGGCGAGAGGGCGTGCAGGTAGTGCCCGATCTTGTTGACGGCGCGCTCCTTTGGCTTGGTCAGGTTGCCCGCGTCGTCAAAGGCGTCCTCCTCGAAGAAGAAGCGGATCTTGTCGCCCGACGAGAGGAAGTAGTCGTCGCCCACGTGGTCCGACTTTTCGCCCGTGGAGAAGCGCGTGAGGGGGTGGTCCTCGAGGGAGAAGCTCTCGAGCAGGTGGTGGGTTTCGCTGAGGAGGGAGGAGACGGTGTCTTGGGTGAGGGCGTTGCGGATGATGAGGTAGCCGTCCTTGTGGAAGGCGGCGAGTTGCTCGGGGGTGAGGCCGGGGGTTGCATCAGCCATGGTTAAGATGTGAAGACGAGGTGATTTTAATTCAGAAAAGAAAAAGACGGAGAGATGATCGTGGAGAGATGAAGAAGAGAACAGTCCTGGGGGAAGGATTTGTGAGCGTCTTACGGGTGAGCGAACTTTTTTGATAATGATGCTGCTGGCCTGTGGTTGTAAGTGGTCTCTCAAGTGGGGGTGACGTCCCTTTCTCTGCCTCCAGGTCCTGCATCAACCCCGCCGGAAGCCGCCTCAAGTCGCTCCGGGACTCGTTCCGGGGTCGGACTACGCCGATGATAAGTCGCGATAAGGACGGAATACGGCACTTTTCGTGTTGATGGTAAGCATCTGCAGAGATTGGAGCTACAGATGATCTCACGAGGGCTCATCACGCATGTCATGGCAAGCTGTATTGCGAGAGAGCAAGAAACAACTGCGAATGCACCTCGCGGCTAGATACCACCAATATAAAACTCTAGACTCATTCAATCGTGTGTGTATACTCCCAAGCGCCAAGCTACCATATACCAAATGTCCGAGTTCTCTGAAAAGAGGGACGAGAATCAAGAAGATATGCGATCAAGACCAACCAAGCCGTGTGAGTATACCCTTATAAATCGTGAAAAGACAGACTGGAAATCAAGCATCAAGCGGATCGTCGAGAAACTCGTAACCTTCTTCCGGCGGAAGAAAGTAGGCAGACGAAGCCAGGCCAGCCGCCGTGATCAACGACAGCGCAGCGCTGACCGTGCCGAGATACCACGAAACATCGAGCCTCCATCCCGGAATGGTAAACTGGGCGTCGTGGTCGTACAAGAACGCCTGTGAAACGTCAGTATCTCTCACACGCAACCACGCACCAAGAGCAGCAGCAGCAGCAGCGCCTTATCTCTACGCACCACAATGGAGATGACGATGAACTCGACCACGGACACGAGCGACAGCAGGGCGGCGACAAAGGGCCACCCCGTCTCGCGCCGGTACTTGCCGCCGCCCATGACGATGGCAAAGGAAATGAGCGTCGCCAGACACAGGACGATGCCAAACGAGGCCATGAAGCCGACGGTCCGCCACATGGAGCAGAAGTAGCGCTCGCCGTATTGGCAGAGCTCCTGGGACGGGAAGTCGCGGCAGTAGGGGTCGTCGAGGCTGGAGCAGCTCTTGTGCAGCCCAATGTGCTTCTCGAGCGTCTCGCCTTTGGTCGTCGTCACCGAGTACGAGATCCAATGGGGTTCGACGATGGAGGCGACAATCATGGCCGTGGCTGGTTTGCGGTCTGAGTCAGTTTACCCCGTTTTCTCACGCAGAAATGCCCATTGTTGCCTGCTCGGCAAGATGCATCGAGCGCATCGCGACAAGCTCCGAGCTGGACAGCTCTGGTCGTTGAAAGATGGTGACGTACCGGCAACAAAGGCCACCAGGCCCGCCGTATAAACGTAGACCCGGGTCATGACTGAGGCACACAGATTGAATCGTTTGGCGCTTTTTCCGTATGAGAGCCAAGAGACCAAGAGACTAGTGCACGATGAAACTCCTGCGACTTTCTTGCCTGGGAGGTAGTTTGAGAACAGGTGTCGAGATGGGAATTGAGCAATGAAATGGAAGAGGAAGCGACCGAAGAGCTGCCTGGTCAGATGAAGGTGCCTGGTAAACGGTACGTGGCTGAGACTAGCGCAGTAACAGCGCTGCAGCACCGTGGCTCGGTCACGGCGTTAGGCGCCTATGACGCTGCGACGGCCTTCGACACCAAAGGCTGCACGCCTCCTTACCGTCTCCAGGTCCTTGCTAGTAAGGTAGTTGCCCAGTCGCAAATGACGAATGCGACATCTCATCCTTTTTTTTCCCTTATTCTTTGCATGTAGTATGACGCTGCAGCTCCCTATCGCCGCCAATGAACGCACAGCATGCGACATCCATCAGCGTCGCAAGAGGGTCATTCGCCCATTTGACGACATTAACAGCATGTACTGTATGACGGCCGTACTGTACACTGCTGCAGCAGCAGCCACACTGATAAGACGCAGGGTAACTGATTGCCCAGACAGCAGCAGCAGCGATAAGAGCTTACAGATGCTATCATCACCTACCTAGTACTGACTTTCATCCAGTACAGTATCGATTGAGATGATGAGGGCTGTCACTTATTACGATGACGCCCACACAAGCATCCACCTTGCGCAAAAGCTACCTATATAATGACTCATACCAGCCATCCACATCACCAGCAAACAAAGCAATTTGGCGCAGTGGAAGCGCGCCGGGCTCATAACCCGGAGGTCGCACGATCGAAACGTGCAATTGCTAATTGGTTCTCTTTAATTTTTTGGCCTTTTTTCCTCCCTCTCTCTCTCTCTCTCTTTTCGTTGTTGGCTTCTGATGTGTGCAGCTTGAATCCTCGCCATATATTTTCTCATCTTTGGCTGCCTTGCTTTTTTTTCTGTAGCAGTCCCGTGCTCAGCTGCACCTTCTCCAAATGACTTGCATCAAGTAGATCTACTTGATCCTGCTTGGTCTTGCAGCTGCAACGCAGGTACCCTGTACTTTACACTGCTGCAGTGGTTCCCCGTAGAGCTCCAACCTAGTGCACTCCTTCCGTAGCCGATCCGAACCGCCGCTACTCCGGCATCGCTATCGGGCTTCACACTTGGAGGCTCATTCCATCTCATCTCACCTCATCACATCGCCATCACTTTGCTTTGCTTGTGCTTCTCTATCCCCTCATTTCTCTCTTCTCCAAGGCTGCCTCTCCGTCATGCAAACGTCCCTACGGAGAATCACAGCCTCCATCCTGCAAAGCCCCAGATACATCCTCAAGCCCCAGACATCCCTCGCACCCCTCCTCCTCCGCTCCGGCCTCTTCCTCCGCAAAATGTCTTCTTCCTCCTCCTCCCTGTCCCCGGTGCTGAAGAAGCCCATCAAGATCTCGTGCATCCAGCTCGCCTCCGGCGCCGACAAGGATGCCAACCTCAAGCACGCCGCCGAAAAGGTGGCCGAGGCGGCCCGCTCCGGGTCCAAGCTCGTCGTCCTGCCCGAGTGCTTCAACTCGCCCTACGGCTGCGACTACTTCCCCCAGTACGCCGAGACGCTGCTCCCCTCGCCGCCCTCGCGCGAGCAGGCGCCCTCGTTCCACGCGCTGTCCGCCATGGCCGCCGACAACGACGTCTACCTCGTCGGCGGCTCCATCCCGGAGCTCAACCCCGAGACGGGCAAGCACTACAACACCAGCCTGACGTTTGGCCCCGACGGCCGCCTACTCGGCACCCACCGCAAGGTCCACCTCTTCGACATTGACATCCCCGGCAAGATCAAGTTCAAGGAGTCCGACGTCCTCAGCCCCGGCAACAAGGTCACCCTCATCGACCTGCCCGAGTACGGCACCATCGCCGTGGCCATCTGCTACGACGTGCGCTTCCCCGAGCTCGCCACCATTGCTGCTCGCCGCGGCGCATTTGCCCTTATCTACCCTGGCGCCTTCAACCTCACCACCGGCCCCATGCACTGGCGCCTGCTGGCCCAGGCGCGCGCCGTGGATAATCAGATCTACGTGGCGCTGTGCAGTCCGGCGAGAGACATGGGCGCCAGCTACCACGCCTGGGGCCACAGCCTGATCGTCGATCCAATGGCCAAGGTCCTGGTCGAGGCCGATGAGCACGAAACGATTGTCCAGGGCGAGCTGGTGGGCGACAACATTGCTGAGGCCCGCAAGAATATCCCGCTCAATAGCCAAAGGAGGTTTGATGTATATCCCGACATCAACAAGGGAGCTATTTCGTTTGACGAGCTATAGATGAATATATACTATACCAAGAAAATTTGTAGACATTGGATAAAATCGCTGGGCTAGGAACTTGAGGGCGTCAATTCATGAGTATTCCACTATGTGGGCATGACATTGCGTAACTACACTGAGGATGGCTAGGTATCAATCATGGTGACGTTCACATCGTTGCTTTACGACACAGAGTATGGGGCAGCCTCTACATGAGAGAGCGATCTATTCAATGTTTGATATACAACATGTCTGCTAGAGTAGATCTTCCCGTAGGACTCCCAATGTGTCCAATATTGGTCCCATTCGGGATTTTCCTTGATCTGGTTGTCATAAAGCCATTCTCATTAACAAGGGCGAGCCTTGCCCTCATCCTCCTTTTTTCGGTTTCTTAACCGTTGCTCTTTGGAAGCCACTCATACCCAAGCACACCTTTTACAGCTCTTACTCCAGAGCCTTCTTGGCAAAGGTGGGCAGGATGAAGCTGGCCTTGTGGATCTCGGCGTTGTAGTAGCGGCACTTCTCCTCCTCCTCCTCCTTGGTCCAGCTGCGCAGGGGCTCGCGGACGTTGCGGTTGGCGTCCTTGCAGCAGACCATGAAGCCGATCTGGCCCGAGGGGTAGGTGGGGATGGTGGTGTAGGCGTACTCGGCGACGGGGAAGACGTCCTTGCAGTCTTTCTTCAGGCGGGCGATGAGAGGGAGGTGCAGCCAGGGGCTCTCGGCTGGTTGGGGTCACACACGTTAGCTGGTTGCCCTGCAAGATATGATGAAAGTCATATAGGAGATTTCTGGCCAGGCGAGAGATGCCTCGCCTCCATGTGTTCTGTTACGAGACAGATTGCCATTCTCGGAACTACCGAGCGGCCCGGGTTGAGAAAGCAGCACTAGCTCTGGCAGCCCCTAGGGAGTCGGAGATGGATGCAATCGCCAAAGCTGTTCCCACATGGAAGAAAACAGCACGGGTCGCCTCCAGCATGCCGGCCTAGCCCATGGGGGGCTGCTCGCCTTCTCAAAGAAAAAAGAGACATACAACCTTGGGTAGTGATGACACCGCCCTCGCGGAGGGCGTCGTGCAGGAGCTGGAAGTAGGGCTTCTGGAAGAGGCTCTCGGCGGGGCCCTCGGGGTCGGAAGAGTCGGTGATGATGACGTCGAAGGTGTTCTTGTAGTCGTCGAGGAACTTGAAGCCGTCGCCGACGTGGACCTTGGACTTGGGGTGCTCAAAGCCAACGGCCATGTGGGGGAGGTACTGCTTGGAGAGGCGGATGACAGCCTCATCAATGTCGCAGAGGATGGCCTCCTCGACGCTGTCGTGCTTGACAACCTCACGGAGGACACCGCCGTCACCACCGCCAATGACGAGGACCTTCTTGGGGTTGGGGTGGGAGTTCATGGCGAGGTGGGTGATCATCTCCTGGTAGGAGAACTCATCACGCTCGGTGGCCTGGACGACATTGTCCAGCACAAGGACGTTGCCGTAGTCGGTGGACTTGAAGATGAGCACGTCCTGGTACAAGCTCTTCTCGTGGTGCAGGACCTTCTCGACCTTGAGGGTCATGGCCTGGCCGGGCCACATGTCGGAGATTTCGCGGAACCATCCATCTGTAGGAGCAGCGGTGATCAGTATCAAGTTTTGCCAAGTCTAGTACGAAGCCATTCAGGTGCGCGTGCTGTTTCTTTCTGCATAGAAGCTCTTTTTTTCAACCTCGGCGATGATCCCGCTATGGCATATGGCAACTTTTTTTTCCCTTATCGTGATACCTGCTTATCACGATACCCGGATAGATAAAGAGACTTTCCAGGTTCGGGTCAGGCACTGTAAGGAAACAATTGCTTCGTTTCCATAACAAGAAGAAGCATCTTGATGCTGCAGACCGAGAGCAATCGCGTCCATACTCGTGACGATCTTGACTGGCATGGAGGGGCAGTTTTGCAACAGAAATTTCCATCGCAAGGCGGGGTATGAACGAGCAGCAAAGAAGGAGATTCAGCTACAAACCTTGGATGGTGGGGTGAACAATCTCGCCAGACATCTTGGAGGTGGTGTGTAAACGGCGCGAGGGCGTAAACCGGGGTATCAATGGATGAAGAAGAGAAGAGGACGACGAGGGGCAGAACAAAGGAGGAGAAGAAGTAAAAGAAGAGGAAGAGGAGGAAGAGGAAGAAGAAGTCCAAGTCAACGGAGGGAAAGACGGGACAGGGAAAGCACGGCGCCGCGCGCCTGCCGCAGACGAGGCATGCAAAATTCGCGGCGCAATTGGCTTTCTTGGTGGGGTGAAAATTTTTGGCGCATTTCTGCCAGTCTCGAAGCTGAAGCCAAGACGGAGCCCGAGGGTTCTGTGTTGCTGCTGCATGCAAGACGACAGCGCCTGGATCATGCCTATAGTACCTAGTATGAGGCGGTTCAATATTCTCGCAGTTGTTTCAGTAAAGGTTCAACACGTAATCATATGCTCAATGCCTGTGTTCCTCAGGCAGACGCTGTGTCTAAGAGAGCTGAGGTCGATGCCAGAAGGTACCTCGTCTGCTTCCGGTCATACCACTCGTCTACCTAGTACTAGGAATTACTCTGCTGAGCTGCGTGACGTCGGGAAAGCTTCAAGCTAACCAAGCCCAGTCATTGGGCTGCAGCTACTCCATTGAGCTGCTGATTGGCTCAAACGCCCAGCTCCAGAACCGAAAGGGAATCTCTCATTACTTGTATCTTTATAGAGTTACGGAATGCAACCGTGTACCTGAAGCCACGAGTAGGGCGGGGAGGTAGAAGCAGAACCTACCTGGTAGGTATCCAAACACCCTCTTGAGCTGTGACTGTTTGACGAGATCCGCTTTCGAGAGTTGTTAACCCACTATCTAATCGTTGGTGTTCTCGTAAAATTTCCTCTTCAGGTAACAATGCAAGCTACTCCAAGCTTCTTTATAAGGTTGCCGAACAGAATCAGTATAGAAAATTCTGCTGCCCCATTTTGGGGCCAGACCTTCACCGGGCCATTCCCATGACCTACCATGGATAATAACAAGCCAATTGGGAGCGTCTGGAACGGGGAACATGACCTGGCTTGAGGAGGATGAGGGATGTCTTGCAACCAGCGAATAGCTGCAGGGCAGGCACCGGTCGACGATGCTTGGTACAAGGGCTACATGGCAGTTGGTTCGCAACATGAAAGAAGGCTCAAGAGTCAGTCTACCAGCTGAGCAGATCCTCTTCATGGCGAGCAGAAATATTGTCTAGTCTCCGCTTGTCTAGGTCCGTAGGATTGGTTGGTAGATGCTGAGAGTGGCCTCAATCTCCCAGTGCCGTTGACCTGAGATGCTTTCCAGGAGGCCGTTGACTAACGGCAACGGCCATTGACATTAGTTACCCGAGTCATAAGAAGGAAAGAAATAAAGCTAGAAAAGGTCCTGAAGGTATGTATTCAATGCCGTAGCGTTACGGAAACTTGTCATGATCAGTCCCGGAGATTGGTATGTCACAAGTTGGCATCCTAAGGGAGTCAACTACCAATACCGAGCTCTTCTTTTACTCGTACTGAGTATTTGAGCTCTTGCTAGCATATCAAGACATGCGTACTGAACGCATAAGGGCATTGTGGTGATATATCCGGTGCGTCTGCAGGATCAAGCAAGGGTTTTTTTTTGTGCAAGTCGCGCCTAAGCACTAAGAGCCATCAAAAAGAGCCGATGCAGTCGTAGAGTAAAGGAACATGAAGACAGGGAGAAGTAGGGAGAAGTATGATAGCATGCATGACTTTAGCAATACCAACAATACGGATTACTCGTGATAGTCCTATTAGACTGTGCAACTTCCACGGACAAGGTTCCATGTCCAACGCTATGGTAGAGCGCGGGCTCGATAGGGGCGGCCCAGCACAAACAATAACGGGCAAGTCTGGACTTTCTTTGCGAAGTCCGGCAGGAATGAGTTTACTTCGATTCGAATGGTATTACCACGCGGCGAAACATTGGGATGTGCAATCCAGGTAAGAAACTACTGGAAGCGCTACGCAGTGTCATGTTGTGAGTTGCTCAACCTCCTGTAAGTCATTTTTGCCCCCCCTGATAGGTCTTTGTCACTTAATTAGATACAATCACGACATTCCTTGTATTTCGGGTCTGGTCGCAACTCTGCTGATGCTTTGACCGAACATGAGAGGCGCCGTCGGTGTAACTCTCCGCATACTTGCAACTTTCCATACGGATCAAGGGGAGCTTGAGTGCTGCAACGGCGCTCCCGACTCTCAACTTTATCCCTCGAATTCTTCGGCCAAGTGAAGTTGATTCATTATTTACATGTCCGACAGCCTTGCATTTCAGTTTCAGGACATTCGGGATCAGAGTTGCTCCGTGTCCAAGACTCTCAACGGTCCGAATTCTTCACGCCAGACTGAAAGTCGACGCTAGCTTACGCCCCCCCTTGAAGATCTGAGGAATTACATAGTTTGACAAAAGCCTTCATCCAGATCACACCGTAGGATGAGGAGGATTCCGAGGTCGCATCTGTCCGCGCATTGTCCCACGTGGTGATCGCCCGTTGCGCGTTTGGGGGCCCCTCCGGTTCGGGGGAAACGACCCGGGCATATGGACGGTATTCACGTTCCGTGAGGCTTTACGGCACAATCCGGGTAAAGACCAGGAGATCTGGCCACGTTGTGAACTAAGCCTTGCGGAGGGATGCCATCCTGCTCGGATATGGATACGAAAAAAAAAAAAAAAAAAAATGCTATCGGTCCTTATGTGCAAGGAGTGTGACATGTATCACCTCGTGCTGACGGGCTGCTGAAATACGTCTCTGCGGTGGAGGGTAGAAGTGACCCTCTATGAGCGGTCATTGCCCTTTTAGTAGATTGTCATGCTGCTGTGAGTAATGACGATTATCTACTTTTGTTATCAAGAGTTATTCCCCTCAAGACAAGCCAGTTATACGCGATTATACGATGCCTAGGGACTCCTCAAACGGGGATGTTGCAGTTTCTCTCACCTGCATATACTGCGCAGCCTTGCACATTTCGAGAAGGACGTTTATCTCTTACAGTTTGCCGCGACACACTTTCACCAATGCGAGCACGACAATATTCCCCTAAATGTTGGTTTATCGTTGTAGAGACTCAATATGCGCACCTGTTCACCTGGAGTGATTGCAGGGTAGCACCATGTCAGGGCGGGAAGTCCCAAGAACAGGAACAATATAACACCCCCCCATGTATAATTACCGTCCTTTTATCAAAAAATAGGAGCAAACGGTGTGTCATAGTTGATGAAACTGGGGAACGTGGCTTGCTCATCCCTTGCGTGCTGCTGTTGGATCCTACCTGCGTGCCACGTGCGTTGGCAACACCATCGGCAAATGGTGGTATTCGCCAAAAGTTCACGATGGGCTCAATCTACCTATTCGTACATGCCGCGAGCACGGGGGAAAAAAAATGACGTATCAGGTGTTAAGGGAAAAAGACACAGCAAAACCCGGACAAGCGACTCGAGGACATTGATTCCAGTCGAATCAAAGTCCGCATCGACACGTCGGTAGGATTTGGTTCCCCCCTCAACACGTCCCACCAGCAAGGCAATAATAGTAACTCGTATCTACATCGTAGTACAATGTATATGAATGTAGAACGCACGCGCACCAATCTGGAATCTCTCACAGATATCGCCGGGAGGAGGTGCAAGGGATTCGAAAGCCTCTCTGCCGTCACATCCACACTCCATCGCCAGCCCAATGCGGAGTGGCAATTCATGCTTCCTTCTGCCAACTCCAACAAGGCATCTGATATGACCAACTGTGTCTGTCTGCTCTGGCACAGACATGCGACCTACACGCTGCGACTCTGCAGATGCTTCCCACTGCGACTGTACTTTCATATTATTACTACCTCCATACATACCATTAGTAACTTGTACATACATGGAGCCGGTCCGCGATTGTCACGCCGGCTCGAGCAGAGTGCAAACAGGGGGTCAAGCCCGTCAAACCCACCCGATACAAACCGTCTCGCAGGCTACTGACCCATGTCATTCGCGCCGATGTTTCAAATCAGACCTGGCCCGCTCATCGGTGCACTAACATTTAGTATTTCCTTTCTTTTCTTCTTCTTTTCTTTTCCCCGTGCTAATTTTCTGGGTTGACAGGAATCATACCGGCAGGTTGACAGAGACGGGTAGGTAATGGTAGAACTAGCTCTCTCCTACGCACTGTTTCTTGTTGACGTCTTGAATGGGCAAAAAGGAGGGGTGATGGGATGGATGAACATCATTGGATGCTACCATCTTACTTCGGTAGCCGACTTGCATGAGGGAGGGTTGCACACACGGGGAAGCGGTTCGACGTCAATGCTTGTCATCTGCTAGGTATGTATGTAGTAGGAGCATATCCACATCTGTACGAACTTCAAGTTGTAGGATATCAGATGATAATACAGTACGCCAACTATCACAAGTGTTGAGTTCTGAGCACGGAATGTAACCGAGTCAGAGTCAAGAGGTCCTTTGCGTAAGCCATCTACTGTACTCCAACATGCTCCGCAAGTTCCTACTTGTACACGAAGTGCGAGCATCCGAATGCCGAGCAGCAGTATCTTGATGCTTTCGTGTAATAATATTCTCTTCCATCTTTTCAGTTGCACTAGAGCTCATTCAACGGAGCCCGGAGCTGCTCCATGCCCAATGAGGCATTTTAGTTTCATCCAAAGTTCTCTATCCTGGTTTCCTCCATCCTGGGAAAGCCTTTGCAAAGCCCGGCATTTGCGTCTGCTTCATGGCGGGCAGATTATGTACATGTTCACGTCCTCCAGGCTGTCTAGGCTCCTCGGCTGACGATAGAGTGCTGTATGCAACGAATGCTGCGATTGACTTGCATGGCGCATGGGAGAAACATCCATTACAGCAGGGTTCGTCCAACGGATTATCCATCCCCTTCCATGCTGCTACTAACAAGTCCATCAGCTGAAGCCTGCATTGTACGTTGCACCTTTGTCCTTTATCTCTGATGAAGAGGCACACATCCCCCGTCGTAGCGGCACTGTATCTCTACGATAACTCCCTGGGAAAACGGCGTAAATACATTCGAGACAAAGTGCATCCACGATTCTTTCACCAGCCTGCTCCCGCTGGGCCTCCCCCGTACTCGTAAGACAAACCCCATAAAAATGCCGATCTACCAAGGCTGCACTGCAACATCATGTCTTGGAAGCACGAGGCTGCCCAGCCCCTGCGACAAAACCCCAAAGTCGACTGCCAGCCTTGAAAAGGCTTCGTGGGAGTCTCCGTTTGCGGAGGGTATGCGACGGAATTAGATGGAGTAGGTATTGCCCGATGCTGCACCAGAGTGCCGCACGGCTCTCATGCGAGTAAGCTCCTCACCCACATGTTCGATCCGTCTCCTTTTACTGCCTTATCCTGAGCTTGTTCTTCTTGTTTGTTTCGCGCCTCACGATAATAATAGCAATCTACCACCCTATGCAAAGGCGAAAGAAGAAAGAGATCATCGCCGCTACTGTAACGTGTTTTGCTGCGCGAGATGAACATGTGTTTTAGGGACTTGCTATCAAGCCCCCCCCCTCTGGCTAACGAGCCCCCCCGTGTTGTGGCTTTTGTGGCTTGAAGTCCGATTACGGCGTTGCCATGCAAATTTGGCTGTAACCTGTGTAGTCTCGTTTTTGAATTATAAAGGCCGCGCATATAGAAAAGGAAATTGTAAATTGAAGCTTGCGATGCTATGCAATTGGCTATTTCTTGGTGTTCTAGTCGCCCTCGTCTGCCTTACTTATACATCTTCAGAATTCAAGTTGATCTTATTATCAACCCATACGCCCAGTGCATCCGCTGACTAAGCCACTAAGGCTTAGTCAGCAAGGCAATTGCATTGCACGTGACCTTTGCAACACAGCGCCCGACCGTACGTATGTATTGCGGGTTGCTCTCCAGCTCATCCCTAAAGCCGCTGTTAAAGGCATTGTTGATAGGTTGGATGAGGGCATCACAGCCAAATGTCATTATGACTTAGCTGAATGATTAGTGCAGTAGAAGTTTGTAACTGAAGAGCTGATAAAGATGGTATGCATCGTGAAATATAAGCAAAAGCCGGCATCGGACATCCTCGTCAGTTAGTGCGATACCCAGCCACACGGGGGGGCTCGTTAGCCAGAGGGGGGGGGCTTGATAGCAAGTCCCGTGTTTTAGCATGAGCCTCTTTGCCTCGTGCCTCGTAAAAAGGGCATATTGAAGGCTCAAGCTAGCAGAGACACCAACTTGACCGGCCTCTCTGCTAGTAGCAAGTTTGGACCATGACATGACCACTATGTATTACTACACCTTTGCTCCACCCAGCACGCGAAAGGGAAGGGAAGGGAAGGGAAGGGCGGACAGCCGGACACATAGCCTTCCCACGCCCCCCTGGCACGGGCCGTCTTTCGCCATCCGTTGGCGATGTCTTTGCGCGGTTTGTCTCTCGCTAGGCAGATAGAAGAGGGTGATGATCGCAGATGGTTCATAACATATTATAGCACTTTGAGGGGAAAAGATAGTATAAGTATGACGAAAAATAAGCAAAAGGTAAAACTATGGAGAAGATGGGAACAGAAGAAAAAAGAAAAGCAGCGAGATGGATCGTGTTTCGCATGCCTGATGGCTGAGACGAGGGATCGGCGTTCTGGTGGTGACGATGGCCCTGCTTGCCGAAGTCGTAACATCCTTGGATGGGCGAGCAGGCATGAAATTGCGTCCCAGGGTTATCAAACGTTGCCCTTGATCTTTGAAGGGGGGGGGGGGGGGGGGGGGGGGGGGGAAGAAGCCGCGTTGAAACCGAGGAGATGACATTACAGGACCAGAATCGCATCGGATATTGTTGCCAGTCAATAGCAACTACTATGTACATACGAGTACTCCACGGCTGTGCGTCCGAGCAGCCTCGTACGGTACGAGTAATACATGTAGCCTGGAATGACTTGAGTGGTAGGGCAGTCAAGTGGTGGCATCATTCACGACTCCATATTCTCGGGGTGGCGCAACGTCTGCCGGAGATGGTATGGGATCAATCTTGCGCTCGACGCCGTTAGCACACCCGGCTAAGGCTATCTAGTGCCGCCCAGACGTCAGTCAAGTCAGCCAGTTGGTCAGTTAGTCAGTCTCTGTCATGCCATTGCGACGCCTTGGGGTGGTTCTGCACGGTAAATCTCGAGGCGCGGCCTTTTGCCTCAGAGCGGCCACGGTCCGGTGTGTCCAATGGATGTCCTTTGGGGGGGTAGCAGCGCGTAGTTGCAGCGCATGAGAGAGCCAGCCTCCAGACGGGATATCTATCAGTACAGTACTACTACTATCATGGAGGAGTAAGCATTGGCAAGCTGCGCTCGTGTGAGTAAGCCAGTCTAGTCTGCAGGTAGGCCGAAGGAGAGTCTTGTCCGTGTTCGTTCCGTCTTGCCTTGCCTATCAGGGAGTGGTGGGTGCTTCGTAGGTCGACGTCGATGCAGATTCAGCCGTGCTGTTTGTGTGTTGTGTTGCATCCATGGTACTGTAGAATAAAGAAGGCTCTCAACTCCAGTCCTCAGCCACGGGTCTGTGCTGTGATAATACAACCTTTTCCACCCTTCTGATTCTTTGCCCCCCTCCCTTTTACTTTTGCTTCATCTTCTTTTTTTCCTTTTCTCGCTTTCCCGCTGCTTCCTCTGTCCCCCACATTCCCGAGATATTTTCTCTTCTCTTCTCCCTGTCAATCCGTCTCTCTCCTCTGTCTCTTCTGTCCGCCTTCTTCGCCGCTTCTTTTTCCCAGTCATTACTCGCACCCCATGAGAAGATGCTCCGCAAGGCAAATGTGTAACAGGGATCATCGCCCACCCTTTTTTTCCTTCTTCAGCGACTACCATGCCACGAGTCGTCCTCGATCCGCCCTTCCGGCAGTTTTACGCCCAAATGTCTCTCCCACCCGTCGGTTCTGGTGCGTAGAGACGCGTGCTGCCCATGCAGGGACCACTCAAGAGGCAGCATTAAACTGGAGTCTTGGCTCTTGGCTTGAAGATGAGGAGACACGCGGCATTCAGGTCGGGTGGTGGTGGTACGTCTCCTGCTAGGTACCTTAGGTAGGTAGAGGAAGAACTTCCAGGGAAGCCATCGCTAGCGATGTTCGCGGCCACCGGGGGATGGTAGGTATTGTGTACCTGTGGAGTGCCAGATAATGGACGTTGACTGGCCCTCACGACCTCAGCGCCTCGGCCTTGCTCCTCCGATTTGTGAGCAAGTTTGCTGCAAAATTGGCTGCTGTGCAAGAGTACCCGACACGGCAGAGGCTGGAATCGTGGCAGATGCCGCAGTACCGTCTACACCGTTGCCGGCCTTGCTGCAGGAACCGAGGAAGTACCTGGCCGCGGGACGCAGATACCGCCCACTTCGGGGATGAATGCTGCATCCGTCGACGCCGTCCCGGCAGGGCTCAGGTACCTCTCCGCCAGAGTGGAGTAGCGGCCAAGTACATTCTGTTCATACCTTGATACCGTAGCCCACTGCAGCCCCCTTATTCGCGACCCCCCAGCCCCCTGTAGCGTAAGGTAGCGTAGCGTCGAAGGCCGCTAGAGCGCTCGAGCAGAACAGAACAGAAGCTCCAGTGCTCGATGGCAGGCCTCTGTGGTGGCCGCAGCAGCCGCTAAGGGACCCCCCCGGTCGCCGCATCCAGTTGGAGGGCTGGAGGATTCAATCATCAAATGTCGGGGGTTCATGATTTGAGGTGCTGGTGCTGGTGCTGGTGCTGGTAGCGAGCAGCGCCATGGGCCCCCTGCCGAGCACCATGTTGAGCCCATGCCGAACCCATGCAACGCCCCCCCATGCAATTGCCATGCCATGCCAAGCCAAGCAAGCCTTGGGTGCTTGCGAGAGAATCAACTTGCTCTCTCCCGAATTGCAGTGCTGCAGCAGGCAATGACGAGCCCATTCCTCGCCCCCCGAGCAGGTAGATTTTAAGAAGGAGGAGAAAAAAAAAAAAAAAAAAAAAAAAAAGTTGGACTTGGACTTGGACTAGGCTGTTGCAGCTTGTCATGTCCGGCGTTTGGACGGGCCTCAGCAAACAGTGCGGCCGAGCTCCATCATCTGCCTAAATCCCATCTGCTCGCTCCCCTTCTCTTCTCTTCCGCTTCCAAGGTTCTCTCATTCTTGTCGTCAATACCTTATTCATCACTATTTAGTATCCTGTACCGTTGCCTTTCTGCCGGGCCTTGCTCTGCTAGTGTGGCCGTACGAGGTAAAGATTGAGTTTTCCTGTAAGTGGCTGTTGGATCCAATGCATGCAGCTCAAAGAGCAGTGCAGCCCTTCTCCAAGTCCCGACTTTCCCACGCCGATTCTATCCTCTTCCCTCCTCTCCCCATCCCGAGCCCTTGACATCCCAATTCCCCTCCACGCCGCCTCCCGATCGACGACCGAACGGCGACGATAGACGGACGCTACATTACCAAGAGCGACGGGCCGACAAGGGACCTCGAGACCTTTGACAGGGGCCTTTCCGTGCAGCTCAGCGACCGCCGCCAGACAAAGGGGCGAAGGAGAAAACTACCTAGAGAGCGAGGAGGCCTGACGTTGGACAGCACCGCATTTTCTTCCCGAGTCCGAACATTCGCAGCACGGGAGTAATAGCATCATCTGCTAAGCGACAATCCCCGAGCAATTGCAATCCCTCCGTCACTCTCTCGGGCACCCACGTTTTTTGCGCGCGCACGAACACCGAAAAGGAAAGACAGGAAAGTCAAGGGAAGAAACCGAGACAAGGGGAATCGCAAGGAAGAGAGAACAAGACAGCGCCGGTCGTCATCCCGTTAACGCTGCCGCTGCCGCTACCCGTCCGCTCTGATCCAGAAGCCCATTTGCCCGCAGGCCCGCCGCTTCCGCGTCAACAGCCAACTTGGACCGACCCGGGCTGCCGATTGACAGCCTCCGCACACACCCGTCAGACATACGCCAGCATCAGAACCGTCACCACGGCGCATCCGTGGCCGCAGAACGCCAGCATGTGCTTTGGCGCCCGGAATAAGAATGAGGATGGCGAGGCTCGCTCGCGGGAGGTGGACAAGGTCCTCCGCCAGGACGAGAAGCGCATGGCAAAGGAAGTCAAGCTGTTGCTGCTCGGTAAGCCTTGGTTCCTCTTTTTTCTCTTCCATCACCACCTTCTTCTTCTTCTTCCCCTTCATTCGATGTAGGGAACATGGCTAAGTTGTGTCTCCGTCTACAGGTGCTGGAGAATCTGGAAAGTCTACAATTCTGAAGCAGATGAAGCTCATCTATGCCCAGGGCTTCAACAAGAGCGAAAGGCTAGACTTTAAGCCCGTCATCTTCAACAACATTATCCAGTCATTCAGGACCATCGCCGAAGCCATGGGCGAGCTGGGAATCGAGTATGAGTTTCCAGACAACGAGGTTAGTCACAGTCTGCGAGCACTGGCTCCTTATTTCGTCCCGTACCACCCGCCTTTCTTTGCGTATATCCAAATGCGTCTCAGTGCGTGATTCCGGCTGTGTCTGTGTGACCTGGATCACGGATAGGATGTCATGTACAACCTGAAAAAACAAGGCTGGTGCTGCTCCGTGCAGCTGCTGTCTTGTTGTGAACCTATTACTGACATGTATTACTTGTAGAAAAACATGGCTCACATCTTGGTCGACAACGAAATCAGCCCCGACAGCGGAATGCCCCAGGACTACCTAGAGCCCATCAAGGCATTGTGGAGAGACAGCGGCGTTTTGAAAGCAGTTTCCAAGGGCAATGAATACGCTCTGCACGACAACTTGACATAGTCAGTTTGCCTCCTGGCCTTTGATTGTCGAGCATTGCTAACATCCCATCCAGCTTTGTTACAGACATTGACCGGATATGGGCCGAGGGTTACGTACCAAACGATCAGGATCTGCTGCGCTCTCGTCTGAGGACCACGGGTATCACAGAAACCGTCTTTGATCTCGGCCAGCTGACGTACCGCATGTTCGACGTCGGTGGCCAGAGGTCAGAACGGAAGAAGTGGATCCACTGCTTCGAGAACGTCAACTGCCTGCTCTTCCTCGTTGCCATCAGTGGCTATGACCAGTGCCTCGTGGAAGACAAGGACGGTGTAAGTGGCTGGGTTTCGGAGTCGTGTACAACCTGGCGTTCCCGATGAGCTAACATGTGACACTCGCTAGAACCAAATGAACGAGGCTCTGATGCTGTGGGAATCCATCGCCAACTCCCACTGGTTCACCATGACCTCCTTGATTCTCTTCCTGAACAAGATGGACCTCTTCAAGGAGAAGCTCCCCAAGAGCCCAATTTCCAAGTACGGCTTCACCGACTACCACGGACCCGACGACGACTACAAGGCGGCCAGCAAGTACTTCCTCGACAAGTTCCGCGCGCTGAGCAGGAACCCCGAAAAGGAAATCTACGGCCACTTTACCAATGCCACGGACACGAACCTGCTGAAAATCACAATGGGCTCCGTGCAAGACATGATTATTCAGAGAAACCTCAAAAAGTTAATACTATGAAGCTCCTAACGTACCTATCTCTTCACCAAGTCATCATCACACTACATTGCGCCGCAGTGTGTGTCCGTTAACACGTTGCTCTTCTCCAGGTTGCTCATCTGATCTCGCTCTTTTCGTCTCTCGGCCAGTGTTTTTATTGCTGTCGCTTTTCATCGCTTACTCGTCACCACCATTACCACCATTACCACCACCACCATACACAACAGCCCCGAGTCTCGACATCTCCGGCTCGATCAGTCTTCAATCGACATAGGGCTGCCGGAGTCCACTCGGTTTCCCCCAGTTTTATCTTATTTTACATGCATGATTATGGCATATCACGGCTTTACCTTCATTTTCATCCATTGGCAACAATTTCTCTCTGCTACATCTCTACGCGTTTTCTCGGTACACACATATACACTGAGCGGGGGCATGCCACTCTTCCGTTGATCTTTTTTTATTTATACACCTTTGTATTTGTCTTGATTTGTTTGTATTCTTGTTCATTTTGTCTACCCCAGCCAGCTGTCTCGAGGCTTTGGAGTAGGAGACGGCGGGCTGTTGCAAGACTTGGATGGAAAAAACGGAGGCAGCCTGCTTCAGATTTTCTTTTTCTTTTGTGTAATCGGGGTTGGTATCGACGTTGTCAGAAAGATCTTTATCTTGTATTTTCAGAGTGTCTAAACGAGGAAGAGGGGGAAAGGGGGGACGAGGAGGGGATCGGAGGTCCTTCTTGGGTTAAAAGAAGGATTGGTGGATATACATATTTTCCTTCATCAATGATACCTAAATCTTCTCTTTTCTTGGCTCTTATCATCTATCTGGCCCAACGCACTACCTAGTATACTTGGCCGGTCTGCCAATATAGGAGATGACATGTGGTATTGAAGAGTCTGCGGCTTTCCTGTGTAGTGATGTTTGGTTATATAGTGAGCGAGGGTTTGACGCCTATTTTGCGCTTGGCGCTTCTCTTTGATTGGCATGCAAAGCTCTAGGGGATGCTTTTGTGAGCTTGATGGCGCCTCAGAGAATCTAATCATGCTCATGGCAAGATCGGGCTGTATGGAGCTGTGAAATGCACAAAGTTCGTCTACTGTAGGAGGTGTGTGTAAGTCAGCGGGAAGGTTGACCTTTTGACGCGCAACCAAACCCTCGCAACCCCAACGGAGCACATAAAAGAAGTCTCAACGCAAAGGGAAGAAGCACGCAGAAAAGTCCGAGACATAAAAAAGGAAGCCAAGGAGATATGCGCGATTCCCTCATCAGGGTTTTCAAAGGTAAAGGTACCTAGGTAAGTAGTACCTAGTAATGTAATACTTAATCGCTTCGTCATGGATGTCTTGTACCTAACGTTTATAGCTGGGTTGACGGCTGCCCTTCGACATCCAACTAGCGCGGCCTCGAGTCCGCCTGGCAAGTTTCAACGGAAAGCAATTTGGCGCAGTGGAAGCGCGCCGGGCTCATAACCCGGAGGTCGCACGATCGAAACGTGCAATTGCTACTTGCCTACTTCTTTTTTTTTTTCTCATTTCTTCCTTTATTTTTATAGGGCAGATCTTTAATCTACCCTCTTCATCTTTTATTATTGATTCATTTAGTTGGGCAGTTATTTATTTTACTTTGATTTGAAAAGGAATAACATGTGTTTCTAAAGGAAGTCTATAGTTGTCATGCCCCGTTTGTGTTGTTTCTTGCGAGGGAGGTCGTGGATAGGCAAAAACTGCTTGTTACCACTTATAACATGGTGGTTGCGTGTGGAGAAGGAAAGAAGCGTGTAATAATTTTCCGTCTTGGCCTGTCGAGTGTTCGTTCATTCGTCGAGGCTGAACATGCCGTGAGACTGGTTGTGGCTCCGCCGAAAAAAATGTTTACTTCGTTTCAATCCAAGTTTGCTTAGCGACGGTGCAATCATGACTCTGCAGTACGGTTCCGAATGAGCTGGAATGGGTGTGTATAAGTAATGTAGACCATTTACCCCTGTATGAGGAACGAAAGAATGAAGAATGAGTAGAGACAGTATGGCTCTCTGATCAGCTACCTGTGCTTGTGAATAGAATATTACAACGAAATGCCGCCCCTTCTCCTTTGATCACAGAGTATACACCCTTTGATCCGTTCTGTATTTAGCAAGAATCGTCATTCTTGGATCTCTTAAGCTATCATATATCTCAGCTATGAATAGAGCATGAAAAGACTAGAATGATCCCTTGACTTCTTTGTCAAGGGCGTGTCAGGATGCGGGCCTCTTGTGTGGCCTCCTCTGAACTTTGTCGTGGGATCGGATCTGAAGCGGCATGTTACTTTACAGTTTCTCTCGGGAAGAGAGAAAGTATTGTCTCTAATCAACGCATGATTTCGTTCTCAAACCTGGCTCCTCCATCAGCAACTCATTTATTGTCTTGCGTTCCCGACTTCTCCCCCCCTTTCCCCAACACTTGCCCCTCTTCCTGTAGAAATGCCATCAACCATCTATTCGCATCTCACTCTCAGGTCCAAATGACGCACTCATCCTCAACCTCCATCTCAACATAGGATTTTACAGACTTGCTGGGCGTCAACGTCATTGCATACCAGGATCATCCCCGTCGCGTCCAACCCCGCACAACAACGCCGTGACTGCTCATGCATCAAGCATAAACGCGAACAGGAAGTAACCTTCCAACCTTCCAAGCCTCGCCAATCCGCCAATCGGGTGCCGCAATTCCCATCCCGCACTTCCCGCACCTCCCCTTTCTTCCTCCCGCCTTCTTTCCCCGTTTTCGACTTTCTATTTCGCGGGGAAGGAACTACATGAAAGCAGTAAAGCCTGGCAAGCAAGCAACAGATGACAACACTGCCCGACTGCGGGTTGCACTTGCAAGTTTCTGTTTCCTGTCACGGCAGACGGCATAACGTGGTGTGATGATATGACGTGCCAATACCACCACCCAAATGCCCCGTGACGAGTCGAGAGATGGTCAATTTAGGCAGTATTGGCAAAACCCGAGATTCGCGGTGAGAGCAGAGACCCGAACAGGCCGTGGCCGACGTTGCACGCATAGCGGAGAGCAGCAACACGGCCGCTTTGAGGAGATGCGCGGAAAAAGAGGCGGCGTTCATGATGTTTCTCGGTGACTTGCTTGGTGTTGATGCATGTCTCGGTTCCCGGCTTTCAGGGCGAGCACAACAAGCATATCGACCTCTTTGACTCCTACATACCTATCTCCCTTTGTGCGTCTCCTCTGATTCACTTCCCTTATGCTACGAGTCCGCCAGGGAATATATGGTATCATTTCTCTGGCTACTGGGGTCCGATTTGCGATAGGCGAGCCATATACCAACCATATTGTTGCCTCTTCCCTCGAGTTCCCGTCTTTTGGTCCTGCGAGCGGTCGATGCCTCTTTCCAGTCAGCCGGCCCTCTTCGAACCCACACGACCTAGACGGCAGACTCGACTCATCGGCGGCAGTGGAACGTGCCTCTTACACTGATAGTTTGTTTGCCGCCAACGGATCGGCATCATGGTAGCTGTCAAGCAGATTGCCCTGCTTGCGGGCCTTGCCCACTGGGCAGATGCCGCAGAAAAGGTCATCACCAACGACACTCACTTCTACGGCCAATCGCCCCCTGTTTATCCATCACGTATGCTCTACCGGTTTCTCTTCAATGAAATGGGAAGACCATGATACTGATGGCGTCAACGACTAGCTGAAATGACTGGTGGCAACGAATGGGAGGCGGCGTATCAAAAGGCCAAAGCCTTTGTCGGCCAGTTGACTCTAGAGGAAAAGGTGAGCAACGACGACGGCCACACAAAGACACGTGCAATCGACAAAGCAGGGCTGGCTCGTCTAACGTTCATCAGGTCAATCTCACCGCTGGGGTCCCGCCCAATACTACCTGCAGCGGCGTGATTCCCGCCATCGAGCGTCTCAAGTTCCCCGGCATGTGCCTCAGCGATGCTGGCAATGGCCTTCGCAACACGGATTTTGTCAGTGGCTTCCCCAGTGGAATCCATGTGGGTGCCAGGTGAGTGACCGAGTCGGTTTACTTGAGTTGAACATGTGCCCCCAAACCCCCCCTCAAGCTACAGTATCAAGCTAACCGCGCCCAGCTGGAGCAAGGACTTGGCTTTCCGACGCGCCGTTGCCATGGGTGCCGAGTTCAGAAAGAAGGGTGTCAATGTCTTGCTCGGGCCCGTGGTTGGCCCTGCTGGGCGTACCGTACGTGGAGGGAGAAACTGGGAAGGCTTCTCCGTTGACCCCTGGCTGGCAGGAGTCTTGGTCTCCGAGACCGTTTCTGGCATCCAGGAACAGGGCGTTATCACGAGTACCAAAGTAGGTCGTCTCCTAATTGTAACAACCGACTGTCCCCCGAAAGTTGGCTACTGATAACCATGCGTGTAGCATTACATTCTCAACGAGCAGGAGACTCATCGCATGCCAGAAGCGAACGTCTCTGCTGTTTCTTCAAATATTGACGACAAGACGATGCATGAGTATTACTTATGGTAAGTATAGACCGCTTCTCTTCTGCCTTTGCAATGAAGTTCTGATGACTTCACTAGGCCTTTTCAAGACGCTGTGAGAGCGGGCAGCGGAAACATCATGTGCTCTTACCAGCGTATCAACAACTCGTACGGCTGTTCCAACAGCAAGACTCTGAATGGCCTTCTGAAGACTGAGCTTGGCTTTCAGGTGTGCAGCCACTCCCTTCATGTCTCTACTCAATGGCACTGACCCAAAGTTTTGAATTAAGGGGTTTGTCGTTTCCGACTGGTCTGCTCAGCATGCTGGAGTGGCTTCTGCAGAAGCTGGCATGGATATGGCCATGCCTGGGCCGGCCGAGTTCTGGGGCGAGCATCTGGTTGAGGCTGTGAAAAATGGTTCATTGCCCGAGTCACGAATAACGGATATGGCAACGAGGTAAAGACAATGAGAGTTATCAAGAATTGCATATACTAACGCGCCTACAGGATCATCGCCACTTGGTATCAGTTCGACCAGGACAACGGCATTCCAAAGCCGGGAATCGGGATGCCGTCCAACGTTCTGGATTCTCATGAAATTGTTGATGCGCGAGATCCTGCTGCTGTACCGGTCCTTCTCAATGGCGCCATTGAAGGTCATGTCCTCGTCAAGAACACCAAGAACACGCTACCCCTGAAGAAGCCGCGGAAGCTCTCTCTCTTCGGCTATTCAGCCACAACTCCCGACTTCTTCAGTCCATCCAGGGATGAGCAACTCAGCGACAGCTGGATCTTCGGTAAGGAGGCGTACAATTCCAACTACCTCTCACCGGACGGTTTCGCCACGTTTGGTAGAAATGGTACTACGTTTGGCGGCTGTGGCTCTGGCGCCATCACACCCGCACTGGCAATCTCTCCTTTCGAGGCTCTGAAGTGGAGGGCTGCCCAAGATGGAACAGCAACATTCAACAACTTTTTATCCGACAAGCCGGATGTTGATCCAACCTCTGACGCCTGCATCGTGTTTGGCAACGCATACGCCTGTGAAGGAAACGACCGGCCGGCTATCCAAGACGACTACACAGACGACCTAATCAAAGCAGTGGCCAGCCAGTGCAACAAGACCATTGTTGTCCTCCACAACGCAGGAATTCGGCTGGTCGACGGCTTTGTTGACCATCCAAACATCACAGCAGTCATCTTTGCACATTTGCCGGGTCAGGAGAGCGGACCAGCGCTTACCTCACTTCTCTATGGGGAGACCAGCCCCTCTGGTAGGCTGCCGTACACCGTTGCAAAGAACGATACCGATTATGGCGTCGTTCTCGATCCGGCACAGGCGACGGGCGAGTTTGCCTACTTTCCACAGGCCGACTTCAAGGAAGGCGTCTATCTCGACTATCGTTACTTTGATAAGGAGGGCATTGAACCACGCTATGAGTTTGGCTTTGGACTGAGCTACACAACCTTTGCGTACCTTAACCTGTCTGTCGACCATGTTTCAGGGGCAAACACGTATCCATGGCCGGGAGGCCCTATTGTCAGCGGTGGGCAAACGGACCTCTGGGATGCTATTGCTACCGTCAGCGTTGATATTCGCAACACGGGCAGTGTTGCAAGCTACGAAGTGGCACAGCTCTACATTGGCATTCCGGGGGCTCCGGCGAAGCAACTCCGTGGGTTCGAGAAGCCCTTTTTGCGGCCCAACGAGTCGCAGTCGGTGACGTTCCATCTCACAAGGAGAGACTTGAGCGTTTGGAGCGTAGAGAGGCAGAAGTGGCAGCTGCAGCAGGGCACATACAAGATTTACGTTGGCAGCAGCAGCAGACGACTGCATGTCAATGGGACGCTGGACATCTGAGAGTACTACGGAGGGCAAGAAAATGCAGACTCCAATATCGTACCGAATGATGATGCACCACGGCCGAAACTACATACATACGCAACGGTGATATTGGACCTGCGGGAATCGATGAAGACAGCTTTACAGTCTCGAAAAGAGAAGTGTATTAGGCATTGGATTTGACCATTGGGCACACCATATCTCACTTGTGCTGGGAAGATTACTGTGCTGTACTTTGCATGTTGTTCATGCCATGCACCATTAGCCGAACTGTTTGTTGGTTTTGATTCAAACTTACACGCCCAACCAACGACTTGACTCGTCTCGAAACTCGCTTCAATGCGAACAACGGAAAGTCTCCAACGTCCATCCAACAACAACAACAATCTTCACCGCCTCGTGTCATGTTCCGCCATGCAAGGCCACAGTCTAGAGACGCGATCAACAGGAGACTTTTTTTCTTGGGCGTACAGTACTGTATGTAGTACCTAGCATAGCATAGATTTGTTAGACGCTCAATTCTTCAGAGCGTTCGGAGCCTCCGCGATGTGGTCGGGGGGGGGGGGGGGTTACAGTAGTCTCGAGCACATTACTCGTAAAACAACCCCCCTCGCCATCTTGGCAATACTATTATCCTTCCCAAACAACTTCCGTACATGCAATGAAACGTTGAATCAGCATCAGATTCTAGAAGAAAGCCGATGCCTACATAGTAGTGGTTTTAGTACATTACCCAGGTCCAAAGGGGGGTGGTGCGTGGACGTGCTAGCTTTGATGTCATGGACCATCGTCATGTGCGGCCGTCATTCTTTTCATGCATACTGTACAGTATTACTCTGTTAATACTACTACGAGGCAGCGTTCGATAGGTACCTTACGTGTAGATTGCCCCAAACTCACGCCACTTCTTCAAAAGAAGCTCTTTCCCATCTTTGATTGATTGATGAGCCAATGTCAATATCATGGGCCCGGCCCAGGACAAATCGAGATGCGTGTCGTATCGTATGGAGATGCAGATGCTTGCTAGCTGCTTCCATCGTCATCATCGTCGAGGCGCTACATCAAATGACCCATGCACCCTGGTCTGACATGACCCATGCTCCATAAAAAGAGGCCTGCAGCCAATTATAGCTACTACAAAGCTACCCATGGGTCAGATGAACTTTTTATATATAAAACAGAATGTTTTATTAATGCATTAATAACTTATTATATATTACTCTATTATATACTATAATAACCTTAAGTTAACCACTAACCCTAACTATTAACCACTAACCCTAACCACTAACCACTAACCTTAACTGTTAATCTTTATAAATATAATAAAAATGCATTAAAAATGCATTAATAAAAAACCTGGGATGACCTATGCTCCATAAAAAGACGATTTAAACCAATCACTATGCAAAGAGCATGGGTCACTTGAACTTTTTTTTTATACCAAATTCAGGACCATAGGTCATGTCAGACCAGGGTGCATGGGTCATATGAGGTAGCACCTCATCATCGTCATCAGCATCATCAATCTCCTTTCTCTCCATAAATCTCCACACGCCTTCTGCTATCTCCGATGGGATCCTCTCCCCCTCCCCCCAAATGGTGCCGGCGAGATTACGATTCAATGCAAAATGCGCCGGTCTACCGTGCGATTGACATCGTCGCTTCTGGGCCACCCCCCGACATGACATCGTACTGTAAAGAAGAGATCCAGACCGGCTGCTTTAGATAGATGATGGAGAGAAGCTGCCAAGCGCTGCTAGAGACTTGACTAGCAGCTGTTCGCTGGCTGAATCTGGAGCGAGCGGCGTTGGAATCCACAACAAAGTGCGAATAGAGATCGGCCTTGTGTCTTCTCCAAGCAAATGCTGCTCCCCAGTTCCCGTGCCATCTAGTGCGTATTACTCGTATGTAGTACTCCTTGCTGTGAAGTATCGTAATACTCCATACGAGTACAAGCTGACGGACAGACAAGGCCGGAGCCAGAACAGACGGGACAGAGAAAGAATAGAAGGGGAACCCCTGGCCACCAGCGCGGACCCCAAAAAGTCACACGATCGACGATCGCATGAACCGTTTACTGCTCGAAACAGAAAAAGTGGCCTCCGTCGCAAATTGCTTGGCCCTGATGGGCGAGGGCAAGGCAAATCTCGTACCGGAACTCCAGACTCCGTCTTGCCCAGTTCGGCCTCCTTGCAACAATGAACAGTGCGGCTAGATTAAGCGATCGGCATCATTGACAGCGGGCAGGGCCAAGCAAGGGCCTATCCCTGCCCTCTCTCTCTTCTCCCCCATGGCAAAAGATTCTGGCCGGGGTTTGGAGGCTGGGGAGTTCCAGGACCATGACTTTCTGATCTCAACAAAGGACTGGGCATCCTGGACGCTTGGCAGCAGCAGAAATCCCTTTCGGCAAAGCCGATTTCATCAACGGCGCCCCTTACCAGAGCCATGGTACAAGTAATATAGCATCGTACATCCTCGTACATACATACGTACCGCAATCGCCATTGGTGGTCAGGGAGCGGCTCCCGGCAAAGACACGATGCTTCTTTGGGGCAAAGGCGGTGCTTGCCCATGTCCGGAGGGGCTGGGGAAGAAGAAGAAGGAAAAAGAAGAGGTAAAAAGGAAAAAAAGAGCAAAATACGGAGCACCTGGGTCGCAGACATGCGCGGACAAACATGTCTCTATCCTCCCCCCCACGTCTTTAGAGGCCAGAAAATCGTACGATTTTCCTGGTAGCTCGTAATATTAGAGCCTTGCAGCGCAGACTAGCGGCTGGAGGCTTGCTCAGTGCATCTGGGCCGCTCCATTAGATTCCGTGTCTCGGAACGGCAGCATGTGCGCGTGTCTGCATCTGCGTACTGTCTGGTGGAGGCCGGACGGGTGACGTTTGGCCATCGTCCATCGAGCGGCGCTGCAGTGGTGCATCACAGTCCGGCGATCTCACATCTCGCGACTCCGTAGTGGTGGTGGTGGTGCTGCTGCTGGTCGTGATGCCTGATCAACCGCCATCTAGATGCACAGACATATCGTCTGCTCGCGCACCCGCATTATCGCCGAGTCTCTGCCCGCTGCAGCGCTGAAACTGCTCCGTAGTTGTCGCAATCGTTTAGTACTAGCATCTCGGAAGAAGCCGTTGGGATACAAGGAGGAGCGAAATGGCGGAGTGCAACAAATATCGCCATGTTCTGAGTCCTTTTGTGAAGCCAGCATGGGTTCGTACATACTACACACCTGCCGATACCTCTTTTAGACCCCGGTATGCGTAGCTCGATGGGATCGAGAGCCTGTCTTGTCCATATCCAGAGTAGAACGGAGCACCAACTGGGAGCAACAAAAAGAAGCAGTGGCAGGGGTGTGGGTGACCAGCGGCATGGAAGAAGCGAGTAGTAGCACTGGTGGAAGAAAGAAGCGAAAAGGAAAAAATGGCCCGCCAGGGGGCGTGTGGCCCTGTATCAGACTCAGGACACCGCCCTTGAGAATTTCGGCCAGGATATCTCGAGCATTTCTGTCATGAACTGTCAAAATGTGATATGATGCTTTGAGATGAGACTAGTAATCCGGTGCCCCGATGTGATGTGGCTTCGCGCGTAAGCGGCCGGCAGTTACTCTGATCCAGGATCACTCGCCTCGCTGGGAAAGGGGGCGTCGATGACCCAAGTTGACAGGCAGAATAACACCGCCGAGTGGCACAGATGCACCCAATTCCCGCTTCGGACTGCAGTCCTGCGGGTGGCAAAAGTCGTCGATCGCAGAGCGAGATGCCTAGATGCGAGTGCAATCAGAGTACGACGCTCGAAAGGGTCAGAACAAGTGAAGTGCTCCCGGCAATTCTCAACTCACACACCAGTCGACACTTTCGCCTCTGATAGCTCCTGTGCAGTACATTGCAGGTGATATGTGTGGACGAAGCTCGAAGCAATTGGTCCATTCCTGGCATACCCAAGGTAGAAGTGGAATTCGCTTGCCTGATCGCCGCCGCCGCTCCCCCAGGCAGTCATGCTGAACGACAGGATATCAGGGCCTTGATCAGGATCGAGTCAATGATGTTTCCGCACATGAGAGTGCACTTACAAAACCAGTTTCAGCGCGGGACGGCCCCTCAACGGCCAATAGTCTTTGGGCGTCTGCACTTCGCGCACTTCCAATGATCACAAGGAGCCTAAGATGAGGGTTTGTTCGAGGTCAGTAGAAGCCAACAAGAGCTCTCCCCGGGTACCTGTGACGAGGATGAAAAGCTCGGCCTAGCGTATCAGAAGCAGCAGAGGCTGAGAATCGACAAATCCGGAAAAATCACCGGCGCACACGACCGTTGTCGCCCAATACCCGCCGGTCCTGCTTGTCCATGTCAGCTTGTCGTCGACTAGGCGTACAACATGTGCCAAGATTCGACGAGAGTCTGATGGAGGGAGGCTAAGAATTTGAGCAAAGCAGAGCTTTACACCCTTCTTTCCGTGAGCAGCATCGGATGGAGCTGTCACTTTGCCCAATCACTCCACACTGGGAGAAAGCCGGACGAGGTCTTCGTACATGTGAGCACGAAGACGGGAAGCGATCCCACTCATTGGACGCTATTTCCCAAGGGCTGACAACCATACGCTTTCCATCGGACAAATGCGGTTGCATGAATCGAAGAGGGGAGGCTCAAATGGCCGAATCAGAAAAGAGAAACACTGCAAGCATGTTGCATGGCGAACCTCCAATAAGCTCTGCGATTAGCTGTCCATGTCCGTGTGATCTCCTAGAAGGCTTGCATATGGGATGCGGGCGTGCATATAGAACACAGACGTCCGGACGACAGGCGCGCACGAGCAGACGCAACGAGACGATACTTGTACATCGCTGCCTCTCCGCATCGCCAAAGCCGGGCTTTGAACCCGAACGTGTCGACGTTACGACGTGAATTTGCACTGCTGCTCTCTCACACCACCCCCCCTCGGCCAACCCTCTTGGAGAAGCGGCTAAAGGGCGTTCTAGGCCAAGGTTGGCCGAGCATTGAGGGATCTGACCGATGCTAC